CACACACACACACACACACACAGGGAAAGACACACACACACACACACACACACACAGGGAAAGACACAATCACTCATTCTTTGTGCATGAAAAACATTTTTACTCTCCTACTTACTTTGAAAATTTTCTCACTCATTATATTTAATTCATTGTTTTCCTGAATCTAGAAATCATTTCTGACCATGAAAACCATGACACCTGCAGGAAGTAATTAGCATCTATTTAACGTGTAAAATAATGCATTTCAGTGGAGGTGTCTCACGTGCGCTCAGTGTTGCGACTCATTCAGATTCAAAGAGACAGCCTCAAAACGAGTTGCTTTGAGACACAACAGAAAAGTGGTGAAAGCAGCTGGTAAAGCCAAAATAAGGAGGGATTCAGAGCAAAGCAATCTGAAAAATTTAAATGTGAAAAATAAGGATTTAAACTCGCAATATGTCCACTTTAAATGTTTTTAGTATTGCTCCTATTTTGTGTTTGATACAGTATTTTGTTGCTGTCTAATGTCCAGATGAAACCAGATGATGCTGAACTTTCTGTCCCTAACATTAGCATACATATTTCTCCAATAGATTACTGGAGGTGCTGGTTTTGTGGGCTCCCATCTGACTGACAAGCTGATGATGGATGGTCATGAGGTGACCGTGGTCGACAACTTCTTCACAGGGAGGAAGAGGAACGTGGAACACTGGATTGGCCACGAGAACTTTGAACTCATTAATCATGATGTAGTGGAGCCTCTTTACATTGAAGGTAATGGGATTTCAAACGACATTTTTTTTACTTAGTACCATCCTTCAACTCAACTCCGTCTATTTATCCTGTGGATATGGACATGAATAATCAAGTATCATGTCAGCCAACTTTCTGAAAAAGTTCAAGAGAAGCTTTAACCGCAGCATAAAAAGATTAGATGGATTGGTTTGGATATGTTCTGGTCAGGCAGCAGAACTTATGAACTATGTGAATTCTCAAAGTCATACAGATCAACAGTGTTGGAGCTACTAAGAATACCAAAAAATAAATATAAAATTTGAGTTAGGTTTAGCTTAGAGACATTGCTTTGAGATTAGAGTGTGTGCTCATCTACATTCATCTTTGCCTGACATTCTTTGCTCTTTTTTTCCCACCACTATCAACAAATCACACTTTAATTTCCCAGTGGGCTCTTAAAATATCACGAGTTTCCTTAGCCAAACCAGGAAGTGTGTTTCTGATGTTTTGTTTGTTTACTTTGTTTAACCGTCTGCAAACGCATCCCTGCAAACGGATGTGTGAATATGGAGTTGATGAAGTCCTGTATAAACAGTGATGTCAGTAAGGATTTCAGGGTTGGATAACATGGAGCAGGCTGTGAACTGTGGAGGGGTGCCCACCAAGACAAACTGATGTCTTTGTGTGAACGCATCAAGTGTGTGTACCTTGAGCCATCTTAGTTTGGTTTGGTAAGAAGTCCTTGAACAACCACATCAGAATAGCAATATGCATGAAAGGCATCAATGACTCACTGTTTTATAAGGAAGGACTCACTTAAACATGTATAATTTATATAAAATGTCAATGCTGATTTAGAATTATTTTTTTTACTCCTTTTAAGTAACTTAGTCTTACTTAATCAACTATTCTTATTTTTACTTAAAGGTAAAATGATAAGAAATATTAAAATGAGTTTTCATGTTATCTTTTAGTTGAGCATTTACATAAAACATTTCAGTGGCTGTTTCTGATTTGTAACATTAATGACTTGTTTTTAGTTTTTGTGTTAAAACTCTGAAGTAGGGTGATTGTGTCTTCTGTGCCATGGGCAGCTGTGGAACGGTTATTGTTGCATTGTTCATCAGTAAAAATGTACCTATTTTATTTTTAATTTGTGTTTCTCAAGTGTAGTTGGTTCAGTAATCTGTTGATTGTCTCCAAGTGACCCAGTGTGTTTAGGACTGACACTAATCTGACTGCCTTCACTGACAGTAGTAACCAAATCAGTTCACCTTTCTTGTCTTTCAGGAAGGTGATGTATGAAATGCTAGTTTTTAGTTTATGGATGTTTTTCACATTACAATGCTCTAAACCATTGAAAGTGAAATGAAACGTGCTTTGAACCTATCATAAATTGAAAGAAACCACTATGCTAGTTATTCAGTTGTTTGCTCACATCTTTTGTTTGGCACTACAACACTTCTGAGTGTTCATTAAAAATGCCAGAGACCAGAAAAGTTTTTTTCAAATCTTTTCTCATTGCTTTAAAATCTGTGTGAGTTCCTTAAAATGTGAGACTCTGAAAACCAGCATCTTTTATGTTTTCCTTTGGATATATTCAGGTTCAAAACACTTTTTAAGTTGATCTTTATACTCTGTAAAGCAATTTGTGATGCATTCATTCAGGATGAAAAGTATTACACAAAATCTGATTTCACTAATTGCTAGTAGAGRAAATGTTACGCACAAGTGAAATGAAGCGCAAATCAAAAGGTTAGTTTCAATCATGATTCTTTAGAAAAGAAAGCTTGTTCACAAAATAAGGTTTAAATAAATATAAATGCCTGAAGAAAAACGGTATAAGATACAAGAAAGCACATGCATCATGTAACTGACCTTCATTTTCAAGCATTAGCAGACACATATGGTGTTCTGTAATGATCTTTTATTATTAATAGCAATTAATATGTATGGTGTAATAAAAGGGAAGCAGCATAATAAGATCCCTTACAGCAGTAGTTCAGCTAATTTGAAGTGGAGTTATGTGCAAAAGTTTTGAACAATATCTTTGAGATTAGTTCTGACTGAAGCTTACAGCTAGTCAGAGCAGGGCCAAGAACAAATTGGTTGCTGTCATCTTAAAACAACCACAGTCATGAAAATGTTCTAGCAGTTGATGGAACTGTTGAAGAATTTTTTGGTTATTTGCAAGCTGTTTTCCACAGCTTTTCCCCAGATATGTTTTTTTCCCTTCGGATTTAAACACCCTCTGCTGCTGTTTGGAAGCAACCTTTCTTTTATTGTCAGTCATTTAATGCATTAAAATAATCTATTCATGCAATCCACTGTGCTCCAAGGTGAGACATTTTGTTTGTCCTGTTTTATTTTTTCTCCAGTGGACCAGATCTATCATTTGGCATCACCAGCCTCCCCTCCCAACTACATGTACAATCCCATCAAGACACTCAAGACAAACACAATCGGCACTCTCAACATGCTCGGTAAGTGAAAGTGTTCAACTCTAGTCAATAAAACAGTTTAAGTTTATTAAATATATCCTTTGGTATGTTTTTGTAACATTTTAGAATCCGATAATTACTGGAAAGAATAAAGTGCATTGTTTTGGTTAAGATTTTGTTTGTCTTTACAAATAAAACAATATGAGGAGTCATAAAACTAAGAAGAAATTAGAACAATTTTGCATCTTTTCAAGTATTTTAACACCTTACAGCCTACCTTCAGAAAACACTGTTCTCAGAATGAAAGTCTGAGGACAAACTTAATGGCTTGCTATTTTCTGGAATGCTTTCTGAAAATAAAGCGTCAGATTTTTCAATATTGTGAAAAACTCTGAGATTTTCCAATTTTAATTTTTAAAGAAATCTAATCAAACTTGCATTGTTTTTGAGTGTGTTTGTAAAATGATTGCAAAAACTTGGGTAGGGTAAAACAATCTTTATTCTTCATGTTGTTTATTTTTTACTAAATTCTGTGTTTCAGCCATGTTTCCAAGGTTCCAAGGATTGGATATTTTGGTTCTGTCTGTAGTGGTCCTCACAAGTTACAGTTACTATTAAAAAATCATTAAAAATTATTTTAGAAACAATGGAAATTTATTTTAAAGTAGCSAACACTTTTACTTTAATGCCAGGACATCTTGTAATGCTAGTAAGTAAGTAAAGTTTTATTTATAAAGCACCTTTCACAGAAATATATTCACAAGGTGCTGTACAATCATTAACAATGTAAAATGGTTGAAAGATAAACTGAAACAGAATAAAACATAAGCAACGTAATGAAACATCACATCAAGATTAAATTCTAAAATTGAATCCTGATGCATCTCAGYAATCCAGGTAAAAAATCTCTGGACGGGTTCTTCTCTAATGAAACGTTTCGTCTCTCCTCCAAGAGACTTCTTCAGTCTGAGAGTTTCAGGCAAAATTCAGGCTTTTAAGTCCTGCCTCCATGTGACTGATACTCACATCACATGGCTATCGTTGACACCTAATTAACATTTATTGTTAACAGGGGGTGGAGTGATACTGGCAATAGCCGCGCTGTAGGAGGGGGACAACTGAAAACGGAGGCCTCCACCTCTGTTTAATGATGGACGGTCTTTCTTCACAAAAATGGCTTCTTTTACTCCTCTCTCTGAAAGCAGACAGGAAACACAGACAGGATTCCATGCAACCTTCAGGTGAAAATGAAGACCCCAGACCCAAACCAGTGGTTATTCCGAATGTTGCGGGTGTTTCGGAGAAACTGAGACGTTTATTTTCTAAACATGATGTCCCAGTGGCTTTCAAACCCCAAAACACATTACGGCAAAGGCTGGTTCACCCCAAAGATCCGGTGCCCCTTCACAAACAGAGCAATGTTGTATATGCTGTTAAGTGCCAGGAGGACTGCGACCAGTTATACATCRGGGAAACAAAGCAGCCACTGTTCAAAAGAATGTCCCAACACAGACGAGCTACGTCTAATGGCCAGAACTCTGCAGTTTTCACTCATTTACAGGCCAGCGGTCACTCTTTCAGAGATGAGGATGTTCTCATTCTTGATAGAGAGGAACGTTGGTTTGAGAGAGGAGTAAAAGAAGCCATTTTTGTGAAGAAAGACCATCCATCATTAAACAGAGGTGGAGGCCTCCGTTTTCAGTTGTCCCCCTCCTACAGCACGGCTATTGCCAGTATCACTCCACCCCCTGTTAACAATAAGTGTTAATTAGGTGTCAACGATAGCCATGTGATGTGAGTATCAGTCACATGGAGGCAGTGCTTAAAAGCCTGAATTTTGCCTGAAACTCTCAGACTGAAGAAGTCTSTTGGAGRAGAGACGAAACGTTTCATTGGAGAAGAAGCCGTCCAGAAGACCTATACAATTTTTTTCTTTTTGTTTTTTTCTAAAATTGTAACTCAGACACTCTGTCAATACAGAGCAAAATAGACAAAGATACACAAAATCTAGAGAATGGGGGAGAGTAAAATATGCCTGATGTTCAATAGTAGAAAAACACAAAGTTGGCGAGCATTCACTATGGAACTCGGTTGGCATTAATGGTGAATGGTTAGCTAAACGCTTGAGTAAAAAAAGTGAGTTTTTTGGTGTTTCTTGAAGGAGACTATGTTGTCAAGGGAGCGCAGATTAAAAGGGAGTTCATTCCAGAGCCTAGGGGCCACAGAGGAGAAGGCACGGTCACCACGGGTCTTAAAGCAAGTGAGGGGAACCATGAGGAGATTTTGATCCCGTGAGCGGAGGTCCCGTCTGGGGTTGTAAGGGGAAATGAGAGTTTTAATGTAATCAGGTGCTTGGCCATGAAGAGCTCTGAAAGTGAGGACCAGGATTTTGAACCGGACTCTGAACTGAACCGGAAGCCAGTGAAGTTCTTCTAGGATCGGGGAGATGTGGGTGAATTTGGAGGTTCGAGTTAGGAGACTCGCTGCCGAGTTTTGGACAAGCTGAAGGCGATTAAACTGTTTCTGGTTTAGGCAGGTGAAAAAGCTATTACAATAGTCTTAAGTGACTAGAAATGAAGGCATGAATTACCATTTCCAAGTCTGAAGTAGACAACAGGGGCCGGAGTTTAGAGATATTTTGAAGCTGAAAGTAGCAAGTGGAAACCAGATTCTTTGTGTTTATCTAGAGACAGATCTGAGTCAAGATTTACTCCCAGGTTGCGCACATTCTGCTGGACAGTTGAACTCAAGGAGCCGAGATGTTCTTTTATCTTAGGGATTATATTATCAGGGGCCAGGATCAAGGTCTCTGTCTTGCTGAGGTTTACGAGCAGCAAATTGTTAGACAGCCACTGGTTAACTTTAGTGACACAATTTATGAGAGAGGTTAGCTTGTGGGTGGTGGAGCCATTAACCCTCTGAGGTCTGGGGTCTAAATGGCCGTTTTTGACTGCATTATCACAGTGAACCAAAAAACACACAAAAAACAAAATCCGAGTAGGAAAATTTTGGCTATTTTTATTATAAAATTCACAAAAATGTTTAACGAACCAATTTTTTCTAACCTATAATGAAAATATATAGTGTAAATTTCATAAACGTGTGTACAAATTTAGCAAAAAAGTTTATATCCACATTTTTACATAAAATTGTRTGCAAATTCCCAGGCATTTTTACAACAATTTATAAAATGTCACAATTACTCCTCCACAAATTCTCTCCAACCTTACGTCTCGTGTGTTTTTATTTTTATTTTACAACCATTTCAAAAATGTGTGACAATGTCTCCACTCATGAAATCTCTCCATCCTTATGTCTCACGTTTTTGTTTTTACAACCATAATTCCTGAACATAGGTAGTTGAAACATAGACACATAGATATTGAGACCCAAAGATTTAAATAACTCCTCTGCGTCTATTTGAGCCCATTTATATATTTTCCACTAGCTTATTTTTTAGCATGTTTGTTGGTGTTATCACTGATGGTTTTGACTATCAGAAGCAAAAAACAACAAAAAAGGTATTTTGGTCTGTGGTGGGGACAGCACATGTACCTGCACTCCATGGCTGAAAACGGCTGAACAACAGGGACTGTCTGTTTTTGGTGTTCCACTGCCTGTACCTGTTTCAGTTGCTGTAGCCAGCAGGGATCTGGTTCTGGTTCTGGTTCTGGTCCTGGTCCGACTGTGGTTTCTGTGTTGTGGGCCTGACAGAGTGGATGGGCAACTTCTCCTCCCGGTCCTCCTCTTCACCTGAAGATGAAATCAGCTATAATGTCGTGCAGTTTGCCTCTGTTACGATCATAATCTTTTACATATTCCATGCCAAACAAACAGACAAACAAACAAACAACTAACCTCCGACTCGAGCCTGAAGTTCACCAGCGCTCGTCACTCCTCYTAGTCGTTCGTATTCTTCATCTCAGCTCAGGACTCAGAGCTAGCTTCCTCAAGTCAAACAACGACTCATTTTGACACACAGACTTACTAACAACACTACTACAGACACTGCACACACACTCACACACTCTTAACACACGTCTGGTCTAAAAACAACCCGCTACAAGCTTCCAAAATGCCAAAATCAATCCGTTCTCCTCCCGTCTCCAAACTTTGCGACCGGCCCAGAACCTCTCYAGAAGCTGCTCTTTACCGACAAACTGTTTTGATTGGTTGTTTCGGAAATGTGGTGTGTTTGAGGAAATGGGAAAAATATGTTTCATTGTGCAGTCAAGCACTTCCTGGTCACAAAACATTCTCTAAAAGCGTACCAAATGCATAAAAATGCACACATTATGGCAAAAATTATTCATCATTAAATCTGGTTTTATTTTGAAGTAAATAAAAAATAAAATTACATAAAACGTTACTTTTATAAAGTTATCTTAATCCTGCATCGTCTAGTTCATAACGTCCACACAAAGTTTGAGAGGAAGGAAAAGAAGCTCATAAACATGGGATCTTGAGAATAGACCTAAGCTTTGCCGTCATCAAATTCTTCAAAAAATGCCAAAGAAATGGATAAAAAGAACATTTACTGAAACTATATGGGTGTTCATTTGTGCAACAAAGACTTCATCTTTGTGATATCAATAACCTGTAACATCCTCCTGCAGAAGCCTTTTAAAATTTCAATAAAGAAATATACTCGGGTCAGAGATATTAGCAAAGTGACTAACAGAAAACAAAGACAAAGTTTACAGATGACTGAAAAGATACTGGAAAAAGTCTTTATGTCAAACATTTCTAATCATCCCTGAACAATCCTGAGATCCATCCCCAGAAAGGCTGATGCACATTCACGTTATTTTATAAGACCCCGATGACCTTTAGGATAGTTGCCTAAATGCTGTGGACTTCCCACAGTCGAAAGGAGATGTTTATCTTTGCTACTTTAGTTGTGGAATATAAATAAAAACTGAAGAGTGTGCTGGAGACTTTGTTGAGACAGAAAGGATCTGTGTTCTGCCAGGGCCATTGACCTTTTTACAGTAACTAATGTGCATGTGTAAAATCACGTTTTTCAAATGCATTCATAGCTAACCTGGTTTTCTATTGACTTTTATATTCAGACATGTTTATAAATGGTTTTTATTAAAATTTTGTGTTTATAATAATGTCTGTCCTCAACATGTAATGTTGTAGGAAGTCAGAATAACTGCAGAGCACAGCTGAAACACATTTAGACTTAAGTCTGTTTCAATGAATCTGAAGTAGACATTAATATATGTAGGTCACAATGCACTGCAAAATACTGATTTTGAGCATGCTTTACTAAATATAACATGAACATTGCCTTTTTGATCGACCTAAAGGTTTTTTCTCTACAAAAAATGCTGTTCAATAAAACAGATGCAGTTTGGTTGACCTTGCTTCTATGCTGTACGATCCAGATGAAGTTTTGCAAAAATAAAACAAGTTTCACTGTGTTGTTTTTCTCTTAGGACTGGCAAAACGTGTGGGAGCAAGACTTCTTCTGGCCTCTACTTCAGAGGTTTATGGAGGTAATATCCTTTCCTCTTCCTCCCTACCTTTTAAGTTTTGCATGTTCATGCTGAAGAGTAGGGGTGTCCCACAAATCTAAGTATTTACTCCCTTAAAAGTATTTTATTGTCACAGCAGGATCTTATTGTCATATTGCATAAAAAACAGTAAATATGTCACTATCTGTTACGTAAAGAATTAGTYTTGCTCTTTACGGGGTTATTGATGGAGTGTTTATAAGAAGGAATCTGCAACATTTATGATTTGATTAGCTTTTTGAAGCAGTGTCCCACTTTAAGTGAATATTTTAAATGAGGGCAAACCTAATGGAATTTGGCCTAAGTGTGTTTCACATCCTCTGACTGACCTAGTGCTATTTCTGTTTTTGTGTTTTTCTACTAACATTGTAAACAGGAAGCTGAAGGAACGTGCTGGAACACATAATGTGTAAACAAACATGAATTCAGCAGTTTTTTCAGTATACGAGTTCAGACACCTGCAGCAAATCCATTCTAACTTTATGACACCTGGATCTTTATACCTACCTAAATTCTTTGACATTTTTAACATCTGAACATGAACAACTTCATCGTGACATTTAATCCTTCATCTTACTGCAGATTGCTTCGAGTTTGTTTGACTTCTTACATGTTTTGCACAAATACAGAGAACTATTGATTTGTTCAAGAAGATTGTTAAAACAAGAATATGCAAGTGAAGATGGAGTTTCTGACACTGAGGCTGTAACCTGTTACCTGATGGATAAATGCTGCTGCCCACTTTGTCCTTTCTATTTATAACCTGTCTGTCTCCTCTGTTCAGGCCACACCATAACTAGGGTTTGCATTGAGAAAAAAAAAAAAGCAAGATGTGCAGTGTGACATGTAAAAAGGCTAAATGGAATCTCACGGTTAATATGTGAAAGTTGGCAGCCCTGTCAGCACTCACATTACAGCTAAAAGAGCTGCCTGACTCACTGCTTTATGAATGTCCCATTTTCACAGCCAGCATTAGCTGGACAAGCAGACAAAATGTCACGTTAACTGGCAACATTAGACTCTCTCTCCCCCCTTTTTTTTTTTTTTTTTTTTTTTTTTTTTAGCCAAGCAGAATAATTTGACAAACACTTTTTTTCCCTTGGTGGTGATAACATTCAGTTAATGGACATTTTTAACCTTTGTAAACACTTGCATTTAGATAGACAGATGGTGACTGAAAGCCAAAACAAGCTGTTACAGAAGTTAGAATAAGGGTAACAATTTTATAAAAAAATCATTTAACATTTTTATTGATTTGGTGCCATTATTCTTTTTATTTTTATTTTTTATTTTTTTTGAAAAATGTAACACATACATTCAATTGTTTTAATTTGAATTAGATTTTTTTTAACGTGTGATGTCTTAATTTTTTTACATTTAAATGCTCTCTCAAAACATATAATAGAAGGTAAAGATAATTTCTTTTGTTTTATTTGTTTTGACAGCCAGAGTTCATGTTAACACTGAATATTGTAACTAAATGTTATTTGTGTCAAACAGTAAATGTGCATACCTAATCATTATTGATTTGTTCTTAAACTGTCAAGATTATTTTATCTTCTATGAAATTAATTAGACCTCACTTACTTATTAGAACATTACCATACCATCTTTATTTATAGAGCACTTTAAACACCCACAGAACCAAAGTGCTGTACACATAATAAAACATGCATATATTCATAAAATAAAAATAAAAATCATAAAAACAACACCACAAATTGTGTTCAAAGGCCAGAGAGAAAAAATATTTGTTTTAAGAAGAGATTTAAAAACAGACAGGGATTACTCATTGGTTTTACTTTTGTTTCTTGTGCATCATTGTTGTCAGCGATGCATAAATAGCTTCACACTAGTTATTTTGTCTGAGTGCTCATTCAACAGAATATATTTATTTGAGCATATTTACTATATTTATGAGAATACTGAGACAAACTGTTCCCTGCTAACACAGAGCTTTAGGGGTGGCTCTCTCCATTGTTCTGCAGTAACTTGGTTTATGTAATGTGCCCAATGAGACATTTTTTTATTCTAGCTGCTTTACTGTAAGTGACAGCTGTTTTTTTAAAATAGATATATTCATTAATGTGGAAATATTCGTTGTTACATAATTGAAAGTCAGAACGTCTCTCATTAATTTTTGTTTTATTAGATCCAGAGGTACATCCTCAAAATGAGGACTACTGGGGACACGTGAACCCAATTGGTCCTCGAGCGTGCTACGATGAGGGGAAACGTGTGGCAGAGACCATGTGTTATGCTTACATGAAACAGGTACATTATTTTATTATTCTCACGTCCAAACACTAACACTTTTACTGTATATGTTTATTTGTAATGGATGTTTTGTCCACTTTAGCTTTTATTGCTAGTTTTATGTTGTTATATAATATAGTTGTTATAAATACGTCCAATACACAATCTTTTTGTCTTGAATAAAAAATAATGTACAAAGAAAAGATACATTTGCAGTGGTTAGAGCTGTTGCCTCTCAGCAAGAAGATCACCGGATTGCCTCCCACCTGGGACCTTTCTGGGTAGAGTTTACATATTCTTTCTGTGCCTGTGTGGGTTTTCTTGAATTACTCTGGATTCCTTCCAAAGATTAAAAACATGTTAGGTTTGTACAGATTCAGGTTCACTCCAGATGTCTTTAGGTGTGAGTGAGCATGAATCTTGTTTGTCTCAGTGTGTCCCTGTGAACAATAACCAAGTTCACTGGACAACAAATTGTCTCAGAGTTATTGTGATAACTGATATCATTTGGAGATTGTTTTAAACTATTATAATAATACCACTACCACCCCTGTCCCCTGCTTAGGAAGCTTATGGAAGTTTACAAAATTTAAATATTGGGGGAAAGAAGTTACAAATTAACCTGGACTGGAGATTGTAAAAACATACAGCAGCTGCTGAAGCTGTAGAAATCACTTTTAAGCTCCTCTATACAAGCCATCGCTATTTATTCTGTGGGTCTTCCTCTGTCACCCTCAATCCACTTACAAAATTTACATAAAGTTATAGACCGACTAGGAGCAGTTTGTGAAAACAACACAACAGCAGCTGCTGAAGCTGTAACATAGCTAACCACCTCTGTCTAAGCTGGCACAATTTATTTTAGATTAATTTAGAGGGAGACTTAAGGAAAACAAAGCAGGCAAATGAAAATGATCGACCTCATTTCAATTTATCCTGCGATTAATTGATTTATTGCTAATTGCAATAGACCACCTGGGATATAGATAAATGTATATAATGCCACCATTGAAGGTTTAAACCTATCTAGTAAAATAGAAATTGAGTCAGGTTTTATTTTCTGTTCATTTTTTCCCATTTGTTCACTAAAGCATCTCAATTTRAGAGAATTTTTCCATTACGTTTGTTTCTCTTCTAACACCTGGTCATTGCTGTGCAGTAAGGACATCATTCTTCTACCGTTTTCTCTGTATTGCTTTTACATGCCTATAACATAATTCCTATTGAATAAAAGTAATCATTATAGTACTTTTTTACTTACAATTTACAGAGCCTTGCCTTTTATTTGGCATTTCATGTCCCAGTTCTTGTGGAGTGAACACTCCTAAATTATAAGTGTGTGTGTGTGTGTGTGTGTGTGTGTGTGTGTGTGTGTGTGTGTGTGTGTG